AGAGAGAGAGAGAGAGAGAGAGAGAGAGAGAGAGAGAGAGAGAGAGAAAGAGAGAGACAGGGATATGGTGGAACAATGCCTTTCTTCCTACCTTCTGTGTAATTTTGATTCCAACTTGGCCAATTTTGTTGTGATAGTTTCAGATTTTCTTTGAAGATCATCCCGGATTCTCTGTTTCGTATATGTGTATCCATCTGATGAACGAACTCGTTCCTCCTTTCTCAAGTTGTTTTTTATTTCCAAGTTTTGTTTGGTTCAATAGCGTGAGCTTAGTTTAAATTTCGTCACTTTCTTGTACCCAGCTGCGCTGCGTGATACGCTCGGCGCGCATGCCTCGCCTGACCACTTGCATGCATGATTAATCTGATATATATTTATATATTGGCCTTTGATGATAGACAATTGCTTCTTTGTTGCAAGATGGTATGTATTTGTATGTAACGATTGGGTCTCACTTGGAATGGTGATGTTGAATAAGGAAAATAAATGCATGCATACGAGACAGACCGACGCACGGACAAAAGCACCTATCACCAACTCACCCGCATGACGAGATAGGATCTGAGCAGTCGGCCTGCACTAGCGCCCGTGTACGACAGCAAGTCCGGCAACAGAGTCTGCAACATACACGTGCGTCTGCCTAAGCCCAACTACGATTGTGTCCTCGGGAATGTATGTAACTAAAGTCCGTTGAGTAGGATATGGCGGTGGAAACTCCTGTTTGGGTCACCGACCGTGAGAGCTTAAGGAACCCGGAATACCGAGCGTATTGGGAAGGAGAACAACTTAGGCGACGAAGAAACTCACGAAATCCTTACTACCCCTGTCAGACGGAGAACGATCGGCTGTGTGTGGGGGATTTCTAGTGGGCGATAAACCAAGATTCTCGGATTCCGGACTATCCTGACACCCGCAATAGATGGTATTATCTAACCTCAGGCTTCATCGCCATTACTACCCGTTTCCCTCCCTATTACGTCCTTCTCCCGTTTGACCACCTAACGGTTGTTCCGTGGGACTCCATAGCTTGTTACTGGCCCCGCACACCATGCCCGGAATGTCAGCAATACAACAGGTATCACGAAGCAGGGTTCATCTGCCGAATCCGCTCTGAAGCAGAGCTTCGGGAGCACAGTCTCCGACTGCGACCGTCCTCATCCGACTCTGAGGCGTGCATTGGCCGACGACGGTACATGCGCTCTCAGAGAGATACTCATAGCGTTCCGCCTGTACATCAGATACGTCCCTGGCCCTGGCCGCAAGATCGGCGATCACCCCGATTCTGAGCTAAAACGAGACACTTGCACGCCTACCCCTAAAACTTGATGCCGAAGATTCCAGTTCCGACCTGTGACTCCACCCCCACTTTCCTAAAATCCTTGGCACACCCCTCTTCGCACTTCTGGGCCCCCTAACACTCCGAAACAGGAAGTCGCGCTGGGCGTGAGGTTGGGCGTCACAGGATTGTCTTATGAGCGCCCGCTGCTCATTGCCTACACTTCCTACTAGGGATGGGGATACCTCCAGCTGGCAAGTTGCTGCCCTAGACCTAGACACATGCATTCACAGACTTGCAGACTCGACAACAGCAAAGAGATCAAGTGCGATCAGATGACGTCAACGATAACCCTAATTGCAGCAAGCTCACCAGGAAAGTCCACGGAAGGTACCATTCACAACAAAATTCAAATTCCATGAAATGACTGGGCCAGGGCAGAGAAGCACTTCACTCCTTGAATGTTCCCTCGATGAAGCTCGTCGATCGCAGGTATGTGCTTCGCTTGCTCCTTGTTGTGCCTCTTCTTCTTCAGGCCTCGACTCTTCAACCCCATTTTTTTTATTTTTTTTTTTAATCACCCGTCGGCCTTCTTCCTTGCGAGCGCCTCAATCCCCAAGTAGGTGCATTGGACTCCTGGTCTGATAAGAAGTGTCCGTCTCTCTAGCGGCGTTGCCGCGTACACACACACACACACACACTCAGAATTGATCTCGACCCAGTAGCGGCTATGGCTTTTCTCTCTCTCTCCTACGCTCTTCTCTCTTACCCTTGGATCGCTCTGCCTCACTCACTCTCTCTCTCTCTCTCTCTCTCTCTCTCTCTCTCTCTCTCTCTCTCTCTCTCTCTCTCTCTCTCTCTCTCTCTCTCTCTCT